AATACGTGGAATACTCTTTTTTTTTTTTAATGGGGGATGGGAGAATTGGGGCTTGTGTAAGAAGCCAGAAGAAAACTGGCTATAAATGGGCTGCGCTTCACTAAAAGATTGCTACAGAGTATTTCAGAGTAGAAGCTTCAGCTCCACTCTGCTCCAACGCACTGTCTTATCTGTTCTATCCAATCGCTTCATCTTCATCTTCCATGGCTTCTTCTGTGTCTTTTGCCTGTTTTCTTGGGTTCTTTCTTTGTTTTTTGATGGTCGGTTACGTCGAATCGAGAAATTTTCACGAGCTTTTCCAGCCCAGCTGGGCTTTCGACCACTTCATCTACGAAGGAGAGCTTCTTAAGCTTAGACTCGATAACTCATCTGGTACACTAATTATTCTTTTCACCCAAAATCTTTGTTTACCCACTGATTTCACATATACGAACGAACTAGGCTCAAATGTAGAGCTCTGGGAAGCAAGTAGTTTTCTTGATACTAAGAAATCCGTGTATTGGAATTTGCAGGTGCTGGGTTTTCATCCAAGAGCAAGTATATGTTTGGGAGGGTCACAATCCAAATAAAACTCGTAGAGGGTGACTCTGCTGGAACTGTAACTGCATTTTATGTAAGTAATTAATTATACTCCCGATTCATTTGAAAATCTTGATATGGTTCATTATACTCTCGAGTCATCAAGAATCTTGAATATTGGAGCAGATTTAGATCATAGGGTGTAGGCAGGAAGAGGTTGTAATTAGTAGAACACACCCACTCTCGTATCGTCATACTCGTGTATTGGCTTTATGATTTTTATTTTTTTTTGGCTCTGTTCGTCCCCACTCTACATCATCATGCATTATTAACTACATCAGTCCATTAAATTGACCATATAAATTCCTTACCTGCCTTTGTGCCATATATCATGTTCAATCGATGATGATATTAATTGCTTGCTATTGTTTTAACTTTTTACCCCCCAACAAAATGATGATCGAATAAGATGCTGCTACCCTTTTCTTATTCATTTATTTATCTCCCTCCTGCCATGTTCATTAAATTTTAATCATGTATCTGTGAATCTGTGATGATGCAGATGTCATCAGACGGCCCAAATCACAATGAATTCGACTTCGAGTTTCTGGGGAATACCACAGGCGAACCTTACTCGGTCCAGACCAACGTGTATGTAAACGGCGTGGGCAACAGAGAACAGAGACTCAACCTCTGGTTTGACCCAACCAAGGACTTCCACTCCTATTCCATCTTCTGGAACCGTCGCCAAGTAATGTAAGCAATCTTCCACGCTGAATGCTAATATAGAATTTTTTTTTCCTGTTATATTATTATGGGTCTGATCTGAAGTGGGTCTCTGCTAGAAATGTCGGGGGTTAGAGCAGAGTGACTCTGCAAAACAGGGCAATCGGTTCCATGAAAAGGGGCATCGAATCTCGTGTCCAATTTTTGTTCTTTTCTTCTGGGTCCCGCATCTTTCTTTCTTTAATTAAAATTTCTCTGATCTATTTTGTCTATTTGTGTGGTCGTCAGATTCCTTGTGGATGAAACCCCAATCAGAGTACATTCAAACTTGGAGCACAGAGGCATACCCTTCCCGAAGGACCAAGCGATGGGGGTGTACAGCTCAATATGGAACGCCGATGATTGGGCGACGCAGGGCGGTCGGGTTAAGACGGATTGGTCCCACGCGCCATTCATAGCCTCGTACAAGGGTTTCGAGATCGATGGGTGCGAGTGCCCGGCGACGGTGACGGCGGCGGACGTTGCTCGGAAGTGCAGCAGCAATGGGGAGAAGAAGTATTGGTGGGACGAACCAACGATGTCGGAGCTGAATCTGCACCAAAGCCATCAGCTGCTGTGGGTTCGGGCTAAGCACATGGTATATGACTATTGTACGGACAACGCTCGGTTCCCTGTTACTCCTGCTGAGTGCGTCCATCACACCCACCGCCATTGGTGATGGGTTTGTGTTTCCACTGTACAAAGAAGAAATTAGAGTGCAGAATGGAGGAGGAAGAAGAAGGGGAGGAGGAGAAATGTGGATAATGTGGCTATGAAACATGTGCTCCATGTTCTGTTTTTGAGTTTTATGATGGCTAAAATTGCAGGGTTAGTGGGATTTCCGGTGGTTTGTGGGTGTGTTTATCAGTGGTCGTAGTACGATAGAATTAATCAAAATTAATTTTCTCTTTAAATACTCGGAAAGCATTCATAAAGTATACACAACTTTTTCCTAACTAATAATTCAGGATTCATAACAAAATAAAAATGTGTAATAATCATGGCAAATGATGACATAAAGAAGAAAGGCTGTTGATAATGGAGGTCCAAATCAAGAAAACTGGAGAATAATGGATTATTTTATTTGTTGATTTACCTTGGATCAAAAATAAGATTTAAAAAGTGACCCGTGGGGGGACCAATGATGAAGGCAATTTTGGGTCGAAATTTTTATGTTTGGCGAGATGGTGGACCATTGACATTCGAGTCCAGAAAACAAGTGAAATTTCGCTATCCAAACAAAAACATTATCACGGGATTAAAAATCAGTGTCCAGTTAATCACGTTTCATATAACAATACGGAAAGACTAAAAACTCTTAACTATCATTAAGAAGGAAAATTTTAAGTTTAGTAATCAACAATAAGTTACACTTGGAGAGCATATAACTCTTGTTGGTTACTAAAATGATACATTATATGAAAGAAGTTGTTTTTTTTTTAGTTAACGTAGAAGATAAAGATTTGAATAATGAAAAATTATGACTATAGTTTCTATTCAATTATTTCATTTAATTTCTATAGTAGTGATGAATTTTGGGTTTGAAATTTATTTAAAGTGGACATTATTTTTAATATTAAGTTAATGATTGAAATATTTTCTTATTTAACATAATTAAAATATTAATACTCATTCTTTTTTAGTATAACATGAATTGTTTTATTGTCGAATCGAGTATAACTCAAATGGTTAAGGCAATTATCTCATGAGTTCGAACTCCCAATTGCTAATAAGGTCGGGAGCGTACGGCATGTTAAAAAAACTAAAAAAGAGTTAAATATTTAAAAAGTTAATGAAGAAAACTATGACATCGTGTCTGTTTTATTTTGGAAGATTAATTGGGCCTTGGGTCATTCGGCCCATATGATAAGTATATCCACATTATTTACATTACAGGCAGAGGCACGTACGATTTGTTAATTAAATTCGAGGCGGTGCATTGGGGCCTAGGGTTCCCCGTTCGTCTGCTTTGTCGTCGTCAACGCGACCGTCTTTAGTCCATGGCTCTCTAGAATCGGAATGTCCGTCCTTTGTTCGACGTCGCAAATTTAGGAACTGCTTCACCGCAGGAAGGGGGAGGTATATTTCTGGCTTCTCTAGAAAAATTCAGTTGCTTTTTAGAATAAAAATAGGGTCTTTTTTCTTCCTGATTCTGAAATGAAAAGTGGGCTTTTCTTTTGACTTTTGCTGCTAAGTGAAACGAGTGGTAGACTGTGGAACATATGCATTTTGTGTTGGTTTTACCTTAAACTTCTGGTCGAGCCAAAGGGTTTGTAAAATGCGGTTCTGGGTTGGAAAGAGGCCGGAAAAATTAAGTCAGGTTTCACTTGGTTGGTAGGCGTGGATAATCTAATTTTTTACCATTTATATAATGGTTTTTTTTACGTCGTCTTTAATTACTTATTCTATAGTTTCCATTTCCCTTGTTTCAAGAGGTGTTTATAGAGTCCACACATACAGGCAGTTGCGTGCTGTTTTTGCATTTCTTTTTAGGATGAATTTGCGGATTTACTGATACTGGTTTAGATGAAGGAAATCTGATTGATGTTGTTTTTGTGTTACTAGTTTTAGAACTTAAGTGACTTGCTAAATGTGTACTGTATGCCGGACGTAAATGCCAATTCAAACTTGGTGGAGAGTACTTGGCATAGAGAAATTATAGATGGGACTGAGATCAGAAATTTTGTTGAAGTAGCAATAGCCTAAGCAGAAAGTATGGTGCAAACTGCTAAAGTTGCAGTTTACAGAATTTAAATTAGAAATCACTGTAGTATAGAGTACAGTAACGATTGATAGTCTGTATTAGTTTTTTGCCACATAAGGGCGACCACTTGATGATCTGTGTTATATTTTCAATGGACATGGGGTAATAGCCATGCCTTTCTTCACATGGGGCATGAAGGACTGAGATTCATTGGGTGGTAGTCATAATGCACATATGGCCTAGACAATTCCCTGACTTCAGATTTTGCTTAATTTGTGCATTTGGCTGTTGATACTTGATAGTTATTGGCTTCCGGTTTAAAAATTGACAATAAAGTGGTTTGATTTTAACTCCCTTTCCCAATTGAGACGTGCCGTCTTTTCTTAAGCATGAAAATTGAAACTATCTTTTGATGGTGACAGGCTTTTTGTGGTCTTTCTGATTTGTTCTGTCCAACCTAAGGATTTCTTGGATGCCTAAATTAGAAAAATTGCAAGCTAGACGGCCTGGATCATCATCCGTGGCTGAGACTCTAGCAAAATGGAAAGATTACAATGATCACCTTGATTCATGTAACGATGAGACCAAACTCACCCGTAGAGTTCCAGCAAAAGGATCAAAAAAAGGCTGCATGAAAGGTAAGGGAGGGCCAGAGAATTTGCGATGTAATTACAGAGGAGTTAGGCAAAGGACATGGGGCAAGTGGGTTGCAGAAATTCGGGCACCGAATAGGGGAAGTCGGCTCTGGTTGGGTACATTTCCATCTGCCATTGAAGCTGCTCTTGCTTATGATGAAGCTGCAAGGGCAATGTATGGCACTATGGCTCGCCTCAATTTTCCCAACATCTCAATTCCAACCTTGCTAAAAGAAAAAGAATCAGCCACAAAGGATTCTCCTGAAATCAAGAGGCCTTCAATCTCTTCTTTAGGGTCAACTTCACTTAGTCTGAGTTCCGAGTCCACAATAACATCAGATCACTCTGAGGATTGTGCAGTCGAAGATGTCTAGCCTGCTTTGACCTCTTACCATTGTAAAGTTTATGAATTGGAGAACGAATGTCAGAGGGATCCATTTTTTGGACAGTTAATGTAATGCCCTTCCGGCGGCGATATGTGGAGGTGGGGCTGGTTGTAATATTTTTTCTTCTTCTTGTTGTCACAAGTACAACTAGGGTTAGGAAGATCTGAACTAGGGATGAAATTTTTAAATCACTGGAACTTCTCTAATTGAATCATTCCTTATGTTAAATCTGTTTTAGTGGTTGATATTTCAGTATTAAGCACTCCAAATCTAGACATCGAGGCTGAGGATAAGCTTATGGGAGACTGCTTCACGCTGGAGAATGGAGATTAACTTATTGCTGAACTTTGTGAAATGAGTTAATGTATATTGGTTGTTACAAAACATGTAACTAAATCACTTTACCATCAAAACTGTGTAGAAAATTTTTGGATTGGGCTGATTTGAAAGTGATACGATTAGTTTGGGGGCCATAAGAAATTCATCAACAATATTTAAGATCATGGAAACCTTTGGCTGATATCCAAGAAGCCAGACAGCGTGGGGTTCGTACTAATTACAGTGATGAACCTGGTTCAACCGAAACCTTGAGGCCATATGAAATTGTGGTCCAAAATATTATCCTGTCAACTTGGTTGTTTTCAAGTCGGCCAAGAATTCGATTYACCACCCTTGGAAATTGGAACTTGATTGTTGGGAATTAATTAAAATTGTGAACTTCTTTTACGCCATAGATAGCAAGAGAGAATCTGAATCTAAGTCTTTTTGTTAAGATCTAGTCGAAAAGTCAGTGTCCCAAGTGTCAAATTCTAGACAACTATTATCTATATATGGCCGCTAATAAAGAAAGCAATATATGAAAAAATGAAGGAAAACAAATCAAATATGTTACTTGATGATATCTGTTGGAGGGGATGAGGCCATGAGCCACGTGGGATGAGCCCAGAAGGCCAACATCTGCATGAAGCTCCCAGGTCGGCTCAACTGGCTTAGTGCTCTCTGGATAAACCCATCCTGTGGAACTACTTACTCATCACCTATAAATATACCATCACTCCACCTAATCAGATACAAAAATCTGAAGTTGATTTATCCAACTTGAACTCAGAACTAAAACTAACTTGAGCGTACTGTCCTACCTGCCTGTTTTTATAGATCTTCCTTCCCAGTTGGTTTCCTAAATTGAATTCATGAGTTTCCCAGTTCTTCAAGTACCAAGGACTCATAAGAAATCTTAAATAAATTTAATTGATTAAATTCCCACTTAAACTGTTGTAATAAAAAAGGATTTATTACATTTTATTATCATAAATAAATGCATATTCGAATTAATCCATCATGAAACAAATAGATAGATAAAAAGAACTCTTGTTTTTCGTGTAGTATTGAATAAAAAAAGATTGATGTTTGGAAAAATTCAGGTTGCTACGGCTCCAAACACGTCGATGCTCGGCAGATTTCGACATTCAACAATACCCACTCATAAAAAAAAAAATCCCACGTTTACTTAAATTATATTAGAAAGTAAATAGGAACTTCTCTTTTACTTTAGTTGTTTTAATATGTTTAATGCATGTTAACAATTTTCATAAGTTTCAGACTTTGACCTCGGTTCAAGTTTCATGCAACTGTGATGGATGGATGCTGTATAGTGTATGCTGTTGCTGGCTGGTGGGATTCTTGGAGGCTTGACTCGGTCGCAGTCTGTAATGTTCTTGTACGAGGCTTTAATTTTAAAGGTTACAATAAATGTCTGACTTTATGTAGTTGGCAAACGCCGTTTGACGCTTTGGAATTTATTTCAACCCATTACACCTTCATTTTAGGTTCTTAATTGAGATTATATAATCATAATTTTAACCATCAGACAAGGTAAACTTTGATTCTGAGAAAAAAAGATGGTGTGAACTGTAAGCAAGCTAAGTAAAAGAAAAACAATTAAAATGCAGTGTTGATGTTATTTGGTATTAATTACTGTCGTATTTTTACCTCAAGTTGAACTTTTTCTAGCTTCAAGGGTACTACTCAAGTCATTTCATCTAGGTAGCCAGCTAGTAATAAATAACAATCTGTGATGAAGAAAAAGAGCAATCTCAATTTATTTTGAAGCTGAGACCTTTTCAAACCACCACCCCGTAATTATTATTACACGATAAGCCCAGCTACCACCAAGAAGCCAGCATTTTTTTGACCCCTTTTGACATTCAAAATTGCTATTCAGCTCCAGCCATCGATTTTTATTTATTTATTTTCCCTATATATACAACCCACCTGCCCATTTCCTCCCCCTGTAGTAGTCACTCACTCGAGCGCCTCTTTTCCCCTCCCCCAAGTTTTTATTAAAAAAAAAGAAAAAAGAAAAGATTCAGATTCAGATTCAGGGGCATCTGCTGCTTTTTGTAAAGAAAGATCCACAAATTAAATATATTTATCACAAATATGGCTGTGGTTCGACTTGGTTTGCTGTGTCTGATTCTCGCCGGGATGACGTCGATCCAACCCACGGCAGCGGATACCGCCGAGGCGCCAGCTGTTGCCGCCGCGACGCCATATTTTGCAGCTGGAATCGGAAAGGAGGAGGAGCAGGCAGTAGTGGCTGAAGCTCCTGAAATCCGACGGCTGGGAAGGCATCATTTTCACACCTCCATGGCCGGTGGAGGGGTGCTGATCGGCGGCCTCGCCACTGCTGTATTTGCTGTGGTCTTTTGCTACATTCGGGTGACTAGAAAACCAAACGCTGTCAATTAAGCTTTAGTTTTTTTTTTTCAACTTTGTTTACAGGTCAAGAAAGGATTGGTATGTTAGTTAAGCTATACTGGGGCTTTCTATTACCCTTTTTCGGCCCTTCTGTGGAATTGATTGATTACTTTTTGTCCATGGAGAATGCAGAAGAATAAACCTCTTTAAATTAACTGATTCGACACTGCCAGAGAAAACAGAACAGTGGACAGAAAGGTCTGTGTTCTGTTTCTGATCATCAAGTTTTGGCAGGATTTCGTCAATATTGTGTTTGCTGCGATATTTTAGCACTCTTTTCTTTGATCTGTTGTCAACTTCTATCATCACTTATTTTAATCTTCTTTGACCAAATTACTCGAGTCTTCATTCCAAAGAATTCTTGAACCGGCTACCTAATAAGTTGTTGGAGGCGGTTTCCAAAATTTTTATGCTCCTAATAACCACTAAATATAAATTCAATGTATTTTTTGGTTTCTCTCATAAATCCAATACTGTAAACAACCTCCTCTAATAATTTCTCTCATTTCATATGCTAACGAATTACACTACAAACCCCATATTTATGTACAGCACCCTTCTATGAATGTACTGCACTTTTCCCCATTTCCATTCATATTGTTCGGTTTTTTTTTTTAATAAAAAAAATTCAACACTGAAGTTAATTCATTAGTAGCATATTTTACATCATCAAAGACATAAGTAAGGGGAATATGTCAAGTGTAAAAGGTAGAGAATATGAATATATAACAATTATCTTCAGCAAGAGGTCATTTCTTATCAATGGGAAAAGATTTCTTCATGGCATGAATTTTGATTCAGTAATAGATTTTTTTTTAATCTGTTGTGAACTCTGTAAAATTGCACAAGAACATGCATGTTGTTGATATGCTAGGAATGGAACAGAGAGACGTGGTATGATAAGTTTGTCCAAATAATAGAGAGGCCATTTTTGTCATTGGTCAATGGGTCAATAACATCACATTTGGATTTTTGTATTTTATGTAAAATCCTATTTCAATCTGATTAGAATGTAACTTAAACCAAACTTAAGAACATATCCATAGAATAATAAAAACTTTACATTATTTTGTCCCCCTATTTATTCATAGGCTAAGTCTATATTCTATTCAATTCAATGGGTCGGGTATCTTTTAAATCACACTTACACTCAACTCAATAACTTTTCATTTCAAAATAGATATAAAATAAAACTATTAAATTGAAAAATCAGATTAGATAAAACCGAGACTTGAAAATAATTAGTGATTTTGTTAGATTTTTAGTAGGACCATAATATGATGTGCCTTTGACTGCAACCTCAAGGATGTTAGTGTGTTATTATCATAATTTGGCCCAAATCATTAATATCTATTGGACTCAAATAAATTATAAATTATGTAGGGCTCTTTGCTAACTCCAAACGCAATTCATTTGGATAAATTACAAATATAGTATAATATAAAGCTAAATAATTTAAAAGTAACAACTGCGGAAAAGTAATTATAATTATGACATGTTCAAGTTCAAGTATGGTTATATTATAATCATCTCAATTAGAAAAAAAACGAGCTAATTACTATTCTAAAGGAATTTAACAAGAATTTAATTTTCTTTTGGCAAATACTGTGGTATTTACAATTAATTTTTTAACTACTGCATTTTAATTATTTTTATAAATATTTTAAAAAGAGGAGGCCACCGAATACAACTTTGCTATTTTTATTTGTTGTAAGCGAGAATAAAATCGGTCTATTTAGTTGGTGATTTGAAAACAAAGAATTTATTCTTTTAGTGTTTTTTAATTTTTAAAAACGGTCTCTTTAGTAATATATTTGTAAACGAGGGTAGTTATCAACTAAATATTTAATTTAATCAAAAATATTATTAATTAATTTATTAATATATATATATTTTAAATATTGTATAATTATTATTTTACAATATTATATAATTGAGCATATATGATTTTTGACATGTTTTAGTTTTAAAAAAATAAAATGAATTTATAATATTAAATAATATATTTATCAAAAACTTTATTTTTTTTTGTTAATTTAATTCTACATTTTTTAAAAAAATTTAGAATATAAATGGGCCAACCAACTCAACTTGGCCCATTAATTTATCCATTTTGAACATTGTTTAGAGAAATTTTATCCAGCCTCGTTTTTTCTTTTGAGTAAATATTCAGCCTCCTTGTATGTATTTCCTTATTTTTGTTTGGTTAATTTTCTTTATATGATGTAATTAGATAAAGAAAATAGAAGTCGGATGGAAGTATTAGATTTTGCAGTCAAATCGAACATAGTGAGTTCGAATCTTCATCCCATATATTGTATTAAATTTTTTTTTTTTTCAACTCAAATTGAAGCTATGCACAGGGTAAGGCCAAGTAAATTGGGTACTCAGTTGAAATTTTATTTATTAAATTTTATTCAATAAAAAATTTATAAATCTTAATCAAATCAAACAATTCTAATTAATTGCAAAACAAATAACAATATTCTATATAGCAGAAAAAAAAAAAAAATAGTCCAGCCCAAACCCATCCATGAGAAAATATAATAAACATGCGCAAATTTAAAAAAAATTACCATATTTAAAAAATAAGAATCATGCTGGTATATTTGCAAATATATTTTTATATTCATATTATTATGGATAACTTTTTCCAAGATGATCTTAAAAGAAAAAACCAACCCAAGACCTCCGCGGGATATGGAAACTATATATATGTTTTGAAAAGATATAGAAAACCATATCAAACTAATAATTTGATTTGGTGATTAAATTGAAATCCGAAGAGTGGAAGCATAACGAACTGAAACGCCATTCTCGTTTGCGAGAGATTGAGGAGGCTTTGAAAAGTTCAAACCCTAGAAATTTCAGAGTCTCTCACTCCCTCTCCCGTTCCCTGAGAAGAAGAAGAACAACAACAAATGATATAATAAAATCAAAACCATTAGACAGTTTCTTAAATCTCATTCTCAATCTCTCAATCTCAATGGAGACCAGATCCGCCAGAAGGCGAAGACTCTCCATCAATTCCGATCACGAACAACGCGGCGGCGACCACATCAGCGACCTCCCCGACGCCGTGCTCCACCAAATCCTGTCTCTGTTGCCGGTGAAAACCATC